ATAACGAATAAGACATCCAGGAGAAGATCAATAAGGAAAGAGAGTACTTAAACAGCACTGTATACCAATGGACTTTAGGGACATATACGTAACATTCCCCCTAACAGTAGCAGAATATCCCTCTGTTTCAGCGACATGTTCTGCTCAAGCACACATGGAACATTCTCAAGGATAGATTCCATTTTAGGTCGCAAAACAAATCTTAACAAATTTAGAAAGATAAAAATCATTCCAGGTATTTTTCAGACTACAATGGAGTAAAATTAGTAATCAATAGTGGCAAAAAAAAAAAAATGGGGAAAATTCACAGAGGTGGAAAATAAACAACACGCTCTTGAATAACCATTGGGTCAATGAGGAATCAAAGGGGATTTTTAAAAATGTCTTGAAACAAATGAAAACAAAACACAACATACCAAAACTTATGAGATGCAACGAAAGCAGTACTAAAAGGGAAATTTAGAGCAATAAATGTCTACATTGAAAAAAACAAAGAAAGATCTCAAATAAGCAAGCTAACTTTAGAAATCAAGGAATTAGAGAAAGAACAAGAACTAAGCCCAAAGTTAGCAGAAAGAAGGAAATAATAAAAGAGTAGAAATAAATAGAGAATTTAAAAACTTAAAAAATCAAGAAAACTGAGAGGTTATTTTTGGGAAAAAATAAACAAAATTGACAAACACTTACGTAAACTAAGAAGAAAAGGTAAACGGTTCAAAATCAGAAATGAAAGAGGAGGCATTAAAATGTATTTGAGAAACAAAAGAAAAAGAAGGGACTTTTATGAGCAATTATATGACAAAAATTAGATAATCTATAAGAAATGAATAAATTCCTAGAAAGATATAACATACCAAGACTGAATTAAGAAGAAATAGAAAATGTGAATAGATCAATAACAAATAAGGAGATTAAATCAGTAATCAAAAACCTTCCCACAAAAAAATGTTCAGGACCAGATGACTTAAAAGGTGAATTCTACCTACTCAGAGGAGAATTCATACCAATCTTTAAATTCTTCCAAAAAATATAAAAGGAAGGGATACTTCCAAATTCATTTAT